AAGGAAGGAAGGAAGGAAGGAAGGAAGGAAGGAAGGAAGGAAGGAAGGAAGGAGCAAAAAATAAATAGAAATTAACAAGCTGTATAAAATTGAGAACTTTCAAAGTAACATTAGATTAGTACTGCACATAAAGGTGATTTTATATCAATGTAACACTTTAAAACCATTTTCAAAATCAAATCAATCAGAAATGAGCAAAGGCTCAATATAATAAGAATTTCTAATATTATATGATTATAATATTTACTTATATATGCTTATAATATGTGTAATAGTATATAATATATAAGAATCATCAATCAGAATAAACAATTGATAGGAGTTTCTATCTAATCTGAGAACGTTTGTCCTTATTATAACCAGTCAAGGAAAAATTAATATTTTAAAGACGTATGTTAAGAGAAACCCAAACTTCAGATGAGATACAGATATGTATGTGCAGAATTATGCTCCATATATGGTTTACAGGTTAAATTAAATTCAGTAACAGACTTGTATTTTAAATACAAAGTTATTTTGACATTGATCCATATTCCCATAGTGTAGTCTGCCATTCTTCTAAAGAAGGGATTATGTACAATTTCCAGGGAGGTAGAATATGGTATTCTACCAGTTGTTATCATTTACAAAGCCAGCTCCATATGCTTTGCAGAATTAATATAAGGCTTAGTAATGTTTAATAGAAAAACAGCTGGTAAGAATTAAAATTTATATTTTAGATTTGTATCATTCTATGGTGAATCATCTTCCAGAATTATTGAACTTTATGACATTGCTACTGAATATGAAAAAAATGATCAAACTTGATTATGTCATTTCCAGCAGTTTTTGAATGTGAATTACCAGTTTTGGCAATCAGCATTGTACCAATGAAAAAAACCTTTGTTCTAGAGTATAAAATACGCTAACAGAAACTCAGAAATACTGTAATATTCTGAGACATATATTCAGCAGCAAAAACAATAATGCATGTTCTTATTTGTATGCAATATATACAAAATAGAGGAATTTAACAGAACAATTCAGATGATATCTTTGATTGAAAGACTGTTTTGCTTTATTTACAACAGCAAATCATAACATCAATTTGGTGTTTTTACTAACTCATTTTGAATTTAAAATGCTCTATTCAATTATTAGATAGCAGGCGATAATACCTAATTGAGGTAATCTTTTATAGGATTTTCATTTGAACAGAGTTGTTTTAGAAGAATCTTCAGGAATGGAAAATTCTCTAGCAGGTGCTAGACCAAAGAAAAAAAATAAAAAATCATATGATTTAACTGCAGCTGATAAATTTTGGCAGAAACATAAAGGAAGGTAAGTTCAATATTTTATATCACCAATTCACTATTTATGCTTCAATTTATATTACAGTTTTCTCAGTAATTTAAACAAAGTGTAAAATGTAGTATGAAGAAAGGGCTTCAAGGAACGTTTTTAAAATGTATGTTTAAAATACAAATTATAAATTAAAAAATAGTTTACACAATATTTATTTAGCCCTTTTCCAGAGGTAGCAGAGTCCGTTCAGCAAGAGTTAGAATCCTACAGAACTCAAGAAGACGAAGTCAAGCGGCTTAAAAGTATAATGGTAAGATTTTTTGAAACAATCAGAAATACTCTTTTTGGACTTTATAGAGTGTTTTAAATATATTGATATTTTTAAAATACAGTGGATATATAATGCTGGTTGCTTTAGAATTCTAAAATTAAACAATATTTTTAAATCAGTTCCACAACCTTTTATACAATTTCATAATCTGTATTGTATACATTTATGGCACAGAGCCCTCTGATACTGATTGGTTCTGCTGTTTTGAATAGATGTGAGGGCTAGGAATAGTCTTTACTGTTCTAGTGGAGCAAAACTAAATCTTTGCACTTCTAAGAGGAAAAGCTAGAGATGATAAAATGCTACAGAAAAAGGATGGCTGAAGAAAAGTTTAAAAGATTTATTTTTAAATATTTATTTATTTAACTGCCACCTTTGCCTACTTCTGTATATTTAAAACAATATGCTGGGATAGAACCAAGTTCTATAATAATTTAAAACAGGTAATGTGAAGCTTTCAGCTAAACTGTCTGCTAGGGTGGAAGAATCAGATTTTACACCTAAAGCTCTTTTAAAGGTCATCAAACTTCCACAGAGACAAAAAGAGCTAATTCCAGAGTCTAAGATAATACAGTCTAAGACTGGAAAATTCTAATCTGACTCTTTCTTTTGAATCTTGCAAAATTTTGAATCTTACTCTTGGTTTTTCCCCATCCCATATAAATCTGTTGATTGTTCTTTGCCAGACCTGCAAATTTTTATCTGAAATTGTAATCAGTGCCATTCAGAATAGAAAATTAATCTTGGGTAGTATATCACAATAAGTCCTAACCAGGAAAGTTTTCTACCTTTCAATATCTTGTTTTATTTCTTTCTATAATTTGTTGTAATTGTTTTGAAATATATATTTTATTATATCCTGCCAAGTGGAGTCATAGGTATTTCACTGAATCTTTTATTATATCTGTTTTTTGACAAAATCCTCTTCATCAGAGGTAAATTCTGTATTGATATCTTAGTTTTCATTAATTTTATATCCAGAAAGGCAATCAGTCTTTAATTACTCTATTACTGTTGTATGGAGCTTTGTGGTTGCATAATTGTTAATGCTGTATCAACTGCATAGCATTTCATCTTTTATTCTTCTTGAATTTTGATCCAGATTATTTATTCATTTTATTGGAACTTATTTGCTTCCAAAGTTATTACAAATAGTAAAGCAGAAAGTGGACACTCTTGCCATGTACCTTTACATATTAAGAAGCCTACAGAGTGTGTTCCGTTCACTGTAATCTTCATTGTTTGCCATTTATATATGCTCTCCACCTAGGTTCATCCATCAAAGCCAGTGTATTCATATACTGGAAAACCTTTCTTGGAAGCTTTCCTCCTTTTTTTCTTTTGAGTTGATTTGTCTAAATTTGAATTTAGCACTCCATTTATGTCTCCTACAATGATTATTTCTCCCTCTGCAGTTTCTATTAGAGTATGAAAAAAATATTTCATAGAATTGTTCTTTGTCTGTTCGGGGCATAAATGGATGCCCGTGTTAAAATTTTGCATTCTTTTCTTACTTTCAAGATTAATATTCTTCCTTCTTTATCCTTAAGTTGTTGTAATACTTCCCAGGAGGGTGATTTAAAATAAATTACTATTCCATTTTTTTCCAGATGCTATCTATTCTTGATCTAACTTTTCCTGTTTTAACAAATTGACATAGTCTTGTTTTATGTGTGTTGTAAACAAACAATATCAGCTTTATATGATTGGAGCCTGTTGAAAATTATTCTCCTTTTACTAGGTAACTTAAATCCATTTACATTTAATGAGGTTTACATTTTTTCCCATTTATTTGCAGTTTAGTTTCAATTTAATGCTGCAGCTATTATTTGTTTGTTTGTTTATGGAATTTGTATGGCCACCCATCTAACTTGCATGTGACTCTGAGTAACAATTAAAACACGAACAATCACAAAATTCAACCACTAAAACCAATTAAAAACAGTTGAAAACTACAGTTGAAAACTACAGTGACAAAAAGACGGGGGGGAGTGCTGTCTAAACCTATACACAGCACAACCATTTAACGGGCTCCACACTTCCATGGGATCTCCAAGCCCAATGGCACATCCAGGTTTTGAGGGCCTTCCAGAAGGCCAGCAGGGTTGGGGCCAATCTAAGCTATACTATACTTAGTTTCCCCTCTACTTTATCTCCAGTTTCCTTCCCTGTGCCAAAAAGTGCATTATCTGTTGTGTCTTGAGCAGTTAGTATGTCCTATAAAGAGGAAGCCTCTGTGGTTATCCTGATGGTTATTCTTTTTGTTTCCAGATAAACTTCCAATGCAAATGGGATTCTCCATCTGCATCTTAATTCGTTTGGTTCTTAATAATCTTTAAATCCTTCTGCCAAAGAAAAGACAAAAGGCAGGGCAGGGTGGAGTTGGCAGCATCAAGTGTTGGGCGGTTGGCTTTGAGAAACCATGTCTGTGTGGATGCTAGATGGCAAAAAATGGCCTGCGGGAGACCAAAAGCCCTATGGCTGCACTTGTGGCTTAGACAGCTATGAGTTAATAAAAATACCAGAAACTTCAGAGTGGAGCAGGAGAAGAGTCCTGTTTGCAAGCCATCATTCTCCTGCCTCTCATGATATACAAATATTATGTAATATGGATTATTGTATTTCTAAAGAGATTATTCAGAGAACCATTCTGATAACTGCAAATCAGGTCTACAAATAAGTTGCAAGCATACAGTCAATGAGACTTCATCATGATTTTTCTGAATTGCTTTAATTGTCTCTTCAAAGTTAGGTAAAACTAGAGTTCCTTTCTGTGTAAATTAAATAACCCAATTAGTTTTTAAGCATACATATATGAATAAAAATAAAAATACCAATTTTCTTTCCAGGGGCTGGAAGGTGAAGATGAAGGAGCAATAAGTATGCTGTCTGATAATACAGCTAAACTAACTTCAGCTGTTAGGTAAGTATATCAATAAAACACTTAATGGGCAAGAAATTCGCCATTTAATCAGCTTTCTTCCATCAGATATTAGAATATATTTCATACTAAGAGTGTAATGCTATTCTTTAAATATCTCATGAAATATTAAACTAGTATAATAATGTAAAACCATATGTGGCAAAACCATATTTTAGGAGAATAGGAACTCTTAACTATTGAAAATATCTTTATAGATTATATGTTGCAAAATTAATTTGGGTCCCTGCACTGTAACCTCATCTGACATCATGGACACACCAAGTTATTAGGAAGGATTTGAATCAAAAACTATTCTCTGGACAGTACATTATGGCAACAAAGCAGAATCATGATGGGATAGAATAGCTAGTTTACAGAAAACTGGCCAGATGTGTTTTCTATAGTTAGCTTTAATTTTCAATGAATTGTCCACCTAAATCTGCAAAATCATACTGGTTAAAGAAGAGGGAGTCAAAAGTCTTAATGGCACATCTCCTAAGCAGCTGTAGGTCAGAGATTTTACAGCATATAAAGATTTGGACAGTATATGACCCAGGGTCATATTTTCTTCTTGAGAAATGCATTCCATAGCTAGTGAATGAGGACAAGACAGGATCTAAGTATTAGTTAGCTCAGAATACTTGTAATATTTTCCTGAGGCGCAGTTCTTAGATGTGGCTTCAAGGATTCTCCTGTTCCCTCCTTTATTTGTGTGCCTGTAGTATTTGAGATTGATTCCCAAATTGCATGTTTGTATTTGTAACACTAATTATATAAGTAAAATAGAATAAACAGACAAGTTAGTTTGTATGAAATCTTTTTCAGCTCTCTTCCGGAGCTTCTAGAAAAGAAAAGACTCATAGATCTTCATACAAATGTAGCAACAGCCATTCTGGAACATATAAAGGTATAAAACATTGATATTTTAAAGTTTTATCAGATTTATAGCTAATCAGTCCTTTTAATTGAGCATACTAAAAGGAAGGCTCAGCCATAAATTTTTTATTCATTTTAAAAATAATATACAAAAGAAAACACAGAGATACTGTGTATAGTGGGATTTGATTCCAAGTTTTAGCTCTGACTGAATCAGTGCAGAGGAAATGGAGAGGGCAGAGTTTTCTGGCAAGAGGGTATGCAGTAGTAGTTACAATGAACAATTGCTTGCATTATGTTTGCCTTATCTGTATTGGTTTGAATATAATTGGCACTCTGTCAATTAGCTTCCATTAATCAGATAATAAAAGGCTGTAATTTTCAGCCGTTTCTAATTTTCCCTGTACTAGTTTCTTGAACCTTCTGTCACAGATCCTGTTCTCTCCTCTAGCAGATCTGTTCTATGAAGTTAGGCTACTGTTTAGAATAGTGTTGATTTATATTTATTTATCATTTTGGGGCTTTTGTAAAGCAGAAGAGGAAAAAAAATTCCATAGAAATAAAAACTACATCATGCTCTTAGTAAAATAGCCTCCATTCCTGGTTACTCAAACTTTAATCTGCTCACCCTGATTTATGAACTTTTAACAATTCTTTGAATCCCAAGAGTTGCTGTGGGACTTAGATACTTTTCTTTCTCAGGCTAAAGTAATCACTTAAAAATGAAAGAGTCTCAGGATCCTTGAGGGATATAGCAGTTCCATGTTGAAGAGTAGATGACATGATTTAAAGTTCAGTCAACATATATATGGAATTCTAGCCTCCATGCTTGGAAATTCTGATTTTGACCTCTTTCTTCAGAGCTCCCGTAAATTACAAAATATTGCCTTGTGCCAGCCATGTCAAAAAAAGAAATAAATCCCCTTCATCATACACAGTAATTCCATAATGGGTTAGATAAGTGGACTATTAGATTCTGTGGAAATGTAGTTGCTCTCAACTCAGTGATCATTGCAGTCAATCCTTGTCATGTGTGATTGGATGGCAATGTTTTGTGATTGTATTAGTTACTAGGACAAATAAGATAGCTGGTTTTAAATAAGCATAGGTTTTTTTTCTTTTTAATTTAAAAAGTGATTTGGCATAATTCGTCCCATCATAACAGTTTAGCTTCCCTGAAATGTCCATTTCATTCTGAGAAAAACAAAAAGTTGCCGCCCTTTGTACTTTTGCTGTACTACAGTTTCATTTTTCAAAAAGCCAAGTCAAACTAAGCTACTTCAAGAGTGACCTAGACCAGATCAGGCCATTTCTAGAATTCAGGCTCAATAATTTCTGCATCTCCCAAGTACAAAGTACATACTGTATATAATGTAGAATTTATGTGTTCTTCTAGGGTCCACAGTAACTGATAAAATTATTGTAGTTTCTTTTACTAGTCCTATATTTTTAACATTGTTTAAAATGAATGAAAAACTATTGTAATTTTCATGTATTCCAGAGATTTTATCCTCGAGCTGCTGTTCTGCCAGATTAGATTCTCATTTTTTGTCTGCTTTTTTTAAAAAAAAAACATAGGCAGAAGTCCAGACTACTATCTCATGCTGCTGTGAAAAAAGCAGTTCATAAAAGAAAACTAAACAATCCAGTCATTTTTCTTCCACAGCTTTTCTGGGCACAGTCTGTTGAGAAGTATTGAATGAGAAATGAATTTTGGTGGTTTGATGATCAAACCAACAGTCTAATTTATATAACTAAAAATAATATTAAGGATTGCTTTCTTTAATGAGTTTGAAGGAAACTTTATTATAGCCAAAGGCCACAGATAAAAGGTACAGCTGAAGTTTTAATGAGTTTAATGTGATGATATTCAGTTTCAATTATCAGTGTTTTTAGAAGATTTGCCTATTATTGAGAGTGTTTTCCCCTCTGCATTTAATAAGTGTAACCTTTTTTTCTACAATTTTTTGCATAAAATATTTTTCGCAATTGTCTTAGATAACTAACGCTTAACCCACTGGCAGTCTATTTCCATAGACAGTAATGTAGAAAATAAAGGTTTTTTTCTTCAGCATTTTACATTGGACCTCTGTCAAAATCCAAGGCAGGATGTGGTTTGGAAAATGCTTCCATAGTTGACTGTCTTTTCCTCCCAAGGCATAGAAATCAGATGGCCTTGCTGAATTAGATGCTTTTGACACTGCAGAGGTGGAATAAATTATTACCATGCTTCCTTTCTGCTTCAGGAAGTTTCTTAGAGAAAAATAAGAGGAGACAAAAGTTAACTAACTTTCCTGTAAGTTTTCATCAATTGAAGTCTAAATGGAGGGAAAATATGACTCTTCCCATCGAGGCAAAAGAATGAGGCACATGATCAGAATCTGATTTTTGATTATTGAGTGTTTGAATCATCCACAGCAGTTTTCTAGGATCCTTAATTAGTATCTCATCTTCCCATTATTTGTACTACAATAATAGATAGTGGTTTATTTTTAATTTTTTACCATTATTTTTTTTAAGAGTCTTTTATTTTGGAATACATTGTCTCCTCCTAAATCTGTATTTAAGAAAGTGCATGCTCATCTATATGCACACATATATGGGAGGATGTGTCAGTGTATATACACACATTTGCATATAGATACAGATGTGCTGTACCCTTTTATGGCCTTATACCCATGGAAGAGCGTTTGATCCAGTGAAGTCTTCTATGAGTGGAAAAGGGAAACATGATTCTTGCAGATTCTCTTTTCTTCTGTTCTGGCACAGAGAAAAGGTGAAAGAGATGAAAATTCCCCCTCTCCCATTTCTACTCAAAGAAGTGTCCCATCACAGAATCTAAACCTTGCCATTTATGGAGGTAAAAAATTAAGTACTATCAATGCCATATATCTTTTGACTTCAGAATAATTTAATAAAACGTTATGTGTTTAATTAAAGTTACCAAGACCAAGGTAGCTGATATGCGAATTTATATTTTCTATAATAAGTCTTAAATTATACTTTTGTAGTAGTTCATTTTGCAGCTGATTTCCAGATTGCCTTAGATTATTTTTGAAGGCACAGCAAAAGGAACTCTGAGATTAATCACCTTTCAGAAATTCTGGCAGTTTTTTGGCATATTTCAGTGTTGAGCAAGAAGCTGGAAAGAAACATCAGTATTTCCCAAGATGGATTAGCAAATATTTATTGAAAAGGCTTAGAAGAAGAGGAACCTTGTTTTAGGTTAATTGTTTAACCTAGTAAGATTTTGGCAACTCAGAAATGTAGCCAAAAATGGATAGATGCAAGGAAAATATCTGCTTTTATTGGAAACATTTTTGTATTGCTATTTTGGACATCTTTATGCATTTTTCTTTTCATTGGTCTCAGTGTGACTTAAACATCAGAAAAAGAGTAATTGTAGTTTCAGAGTGTTTCTTTTTTTCCTCTATGGGTCTCTGGTTTTTGCTGGATTTTTTTCATAGTTTAATAATAATTTCCAGTAACAATAATGTAAATTATTGCCTTAATTTTGCTAGTTACATTTTAGTGATGGAAAGATTCGATGCTACCCACTATGGAGGAGTGTTGGTGAAATTGCTAGATCTTGCTGAGATGGATAAATTAACTTCTTTAATTAGAGAAAAGACACTATCTACATTTCTTGGTGACTGGAAACCTTTTACTGACTTTCTGCATTAAAATGAAAAAAATGAACTTGTGATTTATGGTTTTGATGATTAAGCAGGATAGATTATAGAAAGAAATTATGATATAACTTGAGAGAGAGAGGTTAAAATATAATTGTACTTTTAGCTGCTGTGAAGAATATCAGAAGCCACTTTGTATTTTTTCTTCTTTTTTTCTTTAACTTTCTTTTCCCTTTTCTTGCACTTCTTGCTTTCTCTTTGAATTCTTTTTCTTTTTTCTTCCTTACTTTATATTAGTTTGTATTAGTTTTTATGAAACTTTTTTTAAAGTTTCAATAAAAATCATATGAACATTCTTTTCCAAGTTACATTTTATGAGGTTATATTTAAGAAATAGAAAAAAGTTTTATTTGATAGACTTTTGCATTTAAACATCATGTAAAGATACTAAAATACTGTGGACTATTCTATAGAAAGCTCTCTAACTTTCTTTATTGCATTAGAAAATAAAAAATGCCGTATGTACCTCCCCCTCCCACCAGATAGAATCATTGATTTAAGATATGTAATATAGTTTTACCACACGCATTGAACAAATTAGTTTGCTGTTGTCCTGAAATCCTTGCAAAACAATTAATACTTTTCCATATGATCTGCCCATTAGCTATGTTTTGTTTTATATAGCTATTGAGCTCTTCTTAAATTTTCTGTTTTAAATCTTGCACAGTCCTAAATGCAGTTTATTTTGTGTGAGTATTGAAATGAATACTTTGAAGAGCTATTTTGTACCTCACTTCATATATCATTATACTGGTGATGTTTGATATCCTTCTGATGAATGTTGCTTAGGATTTTTATCATATATGTCCCAATGAAAGGCACGTACGGCTAATTTGTAAATGGTAGAAATATCTCTAGAAGTGCCATCCAAAAATTGTTTGTGAATAAATGGGTTAATTTAGCTTTACTTAAACAAACTGGAAGTAGTTTTAAGTATATTTTCAAAATTTAGCTGTTACCTGGTTGATGAAGACCATTTCTGAATAGGGAAATAGTTACCCTCTGCTTAAAATCTTGGGGTTTTTAATCTAATAATTTAATCAATAAATAAATAATAGTATTGATTAAATAATTTTAAGGTATATAATACAGTAGTAAAAGAAGACTTTGCAGCTTTTTTGAAGGCAAGGGATATAGCAACCATGTATTAATGTCAGTTCTGAATCTGATGAACCCCTAGATGAGAGATCTATAAACCCTTTGGGTTTGAGGTATCATGGCAGAAAGCTGTGATAGTTTATGTATTCTATATATTCTATGAGAATGCATGTTATTCATATGTATATGTATTATATGCATTATACATATGCATTCACATGTATAATAATGCATGTTTTTATATGTATTATTAGAATACATATATTCTATGTATTCTATGAGCCTTACTTATTACTTAGGTAATAATTATGTAGTTATGTAACAGAAAGATGTATGAAAAGAAGTATGGAAACTTTTTTATTTTCTAATGGAAAGGGGGGGGTGTCTATGCACTTTCCAATGACAATTTCATTTCATTCAGACTCGGAAACTAGACGTGTATTTTGAATATGAAGAAAAAATTATGAGCAAGTCCACATTGGATAAATCGCTTTTGGATATGATTTCTGATCCTGATGGTAAGTGTATAATTTGGATTTATTGCAATGTTCCTTTCTGTTAATAAAAATTCTGAAGATTGAATTAATTAAGCTGCTTATATAGCAATAAGAACTTATGCCTGAAAATTTGAAAAACTACTGTCACTAGTGAAATAGCAGAGCTAGAAGAACCAGAGGTCTGGTACTATATAAAGTAAATTCACATTTGCATTTGAAAGCTTATAGAGTGTGAATAGAATAATGACTATAAGAATAGTCATAAAGACTGTTGCTTGTAAGCTGTAGATTTTCAACCTTGACTGTTACATTGAGAAATCTTCTCCTTGATAACTCTTTCAGCTGTCCCTGTGAACAGAGGAATCTCATTAATTTTACCTAAGGCATTACAGGACTCATTTTGATGCTAAAAGACAGCATTTAGAACTTGTACAAATAGTTTAAGAAATTTAATACTTCTTGGGGGATGTCGCTTTTTAGCAAACTAGGTTTATATATTGATTTATTTTTGCCTCAGCAGTCCCAAACCAAATGTTAAAATCCTCTTCATTCAGAAGTACAGCCAGTTATATTCTAAACAGAGATACAGGCAGTCCTTGACTTACGACCACAATAGGGACCAGAAAATTTGTCCTTAAGCGGTGCGGTCATTTAGTGAGGCATCACGTGACTGCACCTGATTTTACTTTTTTTGCAGCGGTTGTTAAGCGAATCATTGCATTTGTTAAGGGAATCACATGTCATTAAGTGAACCATGCACTTTCCCATTGATTTTGCTTGTTGGAAGCCTGCTGGGAAGGTCACAGATGGCAACCATGTGACCCCAGGATGCTGGAACTGTTATAAATACATGCTGGTTGCCAAGTGCCCAAGTTTTGTTCACATGATCACGGGGACGCTGCAACGGTCATAATTGTGAGGACCGGTCATAAGTCACTTTTTTCAGCGCCATCGTAACTTCGAATGGTCACTAAACAAATGGTTGTAAGTCAAGGACTACCTGTAAGTGAAATCTAATAGCCATGCCATTGCATAGCCCCTATCCCCGAATGCCCCTGGTGTTTCTCATTTCTTTTCCTATTACCCATTTTGCTATATGAATAGGCTTTTCTCAGTTGGTGTTACTACACACACACACACACACACACACACACATCCATCATGCAGAGTTTATATAAATTGAGGGATAGGATTATCTCTACTCTGAAGCAAGTATTTCAGGAGACTCGCACATTGAGCTGATTCAAGATGAGCAGATACTGAATTAATAGTCATCAGACTGATTCTTCTTGTACTGTACAGTGGTGGCTGCTGATTTGACAGTACTTTTTCTACTGATATAAGTGCCAAAAGTGAACTTGTAAACTATTATGATGATGATTTTTAGTGGAATGTATTTTATGATAGCGTTAAGAAGAAGAATTTTTTTAAAGCAAACCTTTTCTCTGCACAGCGGGAACAGCAGAAGACAAGATCCGACTCTTTCTTATCTATTTCATAAGTTCTGTACAGTTGCCTTCTGAGGTATGTTTGAAGCAAACATCTACATAGTTTGATTCCTAATTTAATTTTTGTCAGTAACACAGGTGAGTTTATAGTTTAGTTTTTGTCAGTAACATTAAGTTATTTTCTGTTGTACTCTAAATACTTTGTTTCAAATCCATGAACAATATAAAAACACATAGATCCAGGCAGACACAATGGATCATTTATGTGTTGCATTAAACTTTTTTTTTTAATTTGTTGAGTAAACATATGTGTCTAGGTTTAGCCCTATTTAGCCATTATGGTTGAATTCACATAACGTGCTAAGCTATAACCAGACAGGCCACATCATGATTTAGCAATACATGAACTATTTTAGTATTTGTTATGTGATCATGTTTAAAAGATCAGAAATACCCTAGGGATGTCAGGGAACACAGGAAAGGTTTTTATATCAACAAAAAAGCTGTAGAGGTTAACTACAAAAGCTAGCTTTCCTAAGCATCTTTAATAAAATGTAAGTCCCATTGAGCATAACAGAGTTTACTATTGTGTAACTTGTCTAGTTTATAATTTACATTATAATCACATTTGAAGTATTAATACTAGCCTAATAAAAATTCTAAATGATTGGTTGATTGATTGATTGATTGATTGATTGATTGATTGATTATGTGCCATCAAGTCATTGTCAGCTGTTAGCAACGACATAGATCAATTTTCTCCATGACAGTCTATCCCTAACCTGGTTTTTTAGGTCTTCCAATGCCAAGTACTTATATCACTGTAAATACAACTTGCTTGGTACAAAATTGAAGTTCAGTAACCAAGAAATACAAAAGATAGTATTTACACACCTCAGAGTCAGAAAATATTACAAGTAATCCTCATTTAATGACTTATTGGGACTGAAATTTCCATCACTAAGTGACACAGTCATAAAGCATAACATCACATAACCATGCCACTTTGCAATAGAAATTCCAGCACTTCTGGTTGCCATCGTTAAGCAAATCACCACAGGTTGTTCAGCGAGGACACCATGTAGTCACCATTTGTGACCTCTTACCAGCATCCCCATTGACTTTGCTTGTAGGAAGCCAGCAAAGAAGGTTGCAAATGACAATCGATTACGTGACTGCAGGGACACTGCAGTCATCATAAATATGAGGATCAGCCATTAGTACCACTTGTTCAGCACTGTCATAAGTTTGAACAGTCACTGGAGGACCATCTGTATTTTTAATGCATAATATTCTATGAGTAATCCTAAAAGAACTGACTAGGAGCACTCACCCACTTAGTTTTTCTAGATGTAAACTTTCCTTTCCTAGAACATGATTCCTTCAAAAATTAAAAGGCAGTCCAGTAGCTCTCTTTTAATATATCCTCTTTTTAGGGATTGTGTACACTGTAAGTTTCCATTCCACTCCTTAGTGGGTTTTTTTTTAGTAAGAAAAGGATTTCCCACTATTTTTACCAATATTCTGCTAGAAATTTGGCAAAAACGTAATTATAGTGTTGCAAATACAATTTTTAAATAAACTTCCAAACCATTAAAAAAACTGAAAATAAGTTATGGTTGATTCTCTTTGGTTTTGTTTCTTTCCGGTTTCTGTAGCTGATAAAAGCAGTTGGAGTTAAATTTTAGATACTAGAACATTGCAGAGGACTTTATCCTGGTTAACCCAATTTGAAGTGCTAACACATTATTCTTTGATAACAGATGGTATCTCTGACAATATATGGATATTTCAACAAGATACTGGCTCTTTTTAAGTAGTTTCGTGAGACAGCTTATCTGTGCCATAGTGCAATAAATGAACCTAGTGATCAATAGTACAGGTAGTCCTCATTTAACGTACATTCATTCAGCGACCATTCTAAGTTATGACAGCACTGAAAAAATGGACTTACAACCTCTCCTTGAACTTATGACCATTGCAGTGCCTCCGCAGTCATGTGATAAAAATCTGGGCCCACCCACATTTACTACTGCCCCCCTGCTGCTGCCCCAGGCCTCTACTTCACCCCAGTGCAGCCATGGAGGAGGAGCACCTGAAAAGCTCCAAGAGATGAGAATCCATCATTCACACAATGCCCATCTTGCGCGCACATGCTTACGGCCTTCTTGAGGAGGAGGAGGAGGAGGAGGAAGTAGAGGCCCAGGCTGAGACTGCTGAAGGCCCTGGGCCACCATTGTGCTCCAGGTTTAGGTGGCCTCAGTACCTGAAAAATTAGCACTATAAGACTCAGGCTCTTGCGAAGGCACACTCAGTAGCTTCCAAGAGGTTAGTCTGTATGAAATACTCCTTGCCAATCCAGCATTCGGTACTGATAGCTCCAAGAGATGAGGACCCCATCATTCACACCCTGCTGTCTCATGCATGTACACTCGCGGCCATCTCTCTACTTCAGCCCAGAGTAGAGGAGGAGAAGGCAGTGGTGAGGGCCATGGGGCTTGAGGCAGAGGCGAGCCCGGTGGAAGGTAAGCCGAAGCAAAATATTTTCTGTACAAAATAAATGAATAAAAACAAATGCAGTTTCATAAATAGATATGCAATTTAAGGAGAACTGTGGCAACAATTTGTAAATGTAAATGTAAACATATCTTAATCCCCACAATCTGAATTTGGGAAAGCTGATCTATATTATATTCAATCTGATGTCCTTCATGTATTTTGAACCATAACTTTCTTCACACCCAGCCAGCTTGGCAGCTAGTCTGATATGATGAGATTGTCATGAACCATCATACATACTAAAATGCTTAGTAAAATAATTTCATTTTATAGGAGTGCTTTCTTTTGATTTTTCAGATAGATTCTTCTTCAAAAAAATTGACTGCTTTTAATCATTTGTTGTGGTGATCTTGTTTTTTTGATTAGCAATTTCATGGCAGTAGTTGGGGGGTTAATACATTTGCCTTTATGTATAGTAGCTCAGTATTTTTATGTATTTAGAAGATGAATATTAGCTTATTTTCTGTCATACTAATGTATTTATTATTAATAAATAAAAAATTGTCAGAAGTTTCAAATCTCCATTTCATTCCAGGCAGATTTGGAACAGTACAAAAAAGCACTGACAGATGCTGGATGTAACCTTAGCCCTTTAAACTACATTAAACAATGGAAGTAAGTAAATTTTGTTTTCATAATATAATAAAGAAATATACTGCTAAAATTTAGATCAGAATTTTGCTTCAGATTAAACCCAGAACCCATCCAATACTGTAAGGAGAGGTGATTTTACTCAGAGGTATCTGTGGGAGAGGAAGGAAGGTGGTCAAGTGATAAAACATGGGTTGCAATATTCAGATGCAAACTCTGCCTCTCTTGTACTTTCATGCAACAGCACAAGGGCAGAGCTTGCATCGTGATGTCACAACATACATTTCATTCTGGCATCGTTGTTGTTCGAACAGCTGCCTAGGGTTTTACTGTCATGTGTTCATCACATATAAAATAGAGCACCTGCTGTCAGCTATTAGGAAAATACTTAGCCTGAGAGTATAATGAACAAGCAGTGTTAACTCTTCATTCACATTGTTTTTAAAGTGGCTGGGATCTAAAGTTGTGTTCATATATGCAAGACTTGGGAAATTTTACTTCTTATCCTTGCTAGAGCTCTTCCCTTCCTCCCCATATCACGTGGCACACTAGCCCAAAGTGTTCCCCAGTTCTGTGGAGCAACATACTAAGGTGCAGGTAGTTTTATACATGGAAAGAGATACAAACATTAGTAATACGCTTCCTTGCACAAACATAAGTAGTTCTCATCCACAGCTACCTATATTCTATCAACAGCCTGTATTTCTTTCCTTATCAATAGCATCTACCATTGTATTTACTAAATATTCAGGGGTCTTGCTTACCACCACCACCACCACCCTTCTCATCCAACAGAATACCAATACAATTTGCCTTCATTGTCTTTGGATGAAGTTTCTACTTCATTTATTGGGGCATTGTGGAACAGATGATCTGTATGGCTAAAATATTAGAATTCATTTTTACTTAGCCACAAATAAGATAATAATAGGCTTTTTCAAATATTCCCAGCTTTACATGTAATGATATATCTGTGATCTAACAAGTGATCTCCAGATTGAATGGGCAGTCATATGTGACAAAAGATAAAAGATAGTATTTTTGACTGCCATTATCTTTACCTGGAATAGGAAAACTCTGTTCCATGTAAATAAACTCATCTGCCCAACATATTATTACTTAACAAGAACAGCATTCTTCTCTTCTTTTACATCTGTAATCTTTTTCCTCTGTAACCTCATTGCTAAATATTGTCTCAAATGTGGCAATCACATTCTGCCTATGTTATTTGGCACCTTTCTATAGAAATTAAAGTTACTTATACAAATAAACTTAGAAAGGAACTCTCCTTTTATTATTTCAATAACATAGACTATAGTTTTATAGTATATCTGTCTGATTATTAATTGATGGTAGTATTGTCCTTTATATTAAAAAAAAACCATTTTTTAACAGTCACTCATGCCCTTGTTATCTCCCATATAGACTACTGCAATGCACTCTACATGGGGCTACCCTTGAAGAGTATCCGAAAGCCACAGCTGGTCCAGAATGCAGCCGCGCAGGCTGTTTTTGGAGCCCCAAGAAGGGCCCATGTAACACCATTGCTCCGTGAGCTGCATTGGGTTGCAGTTTGCTTCCGGGTCCAATTCAAGGTGTTGGTTATCACCTTTAAAGCCCTAAACAGCATGGGACCAGGTTACCTAAGGGACCGCCTCTTCCCCATGACTTCAGCCCATCCCACCCGATCACACAGGGAGGGCATGTTTCGGACCCCCTCAGTAAAAGAGTTCCAATTAGCGGGGTCCAGAAGACAGGCCTTCTCTGCTGTAGCCCCTGCCCTTTGGAATATCTTGCCCCTGGAGGTGAGATTGGCCCCTTCACTCCTGATCTTCCGGAGAGATCTGAAGACCTGGCTCTGCCACTTGGCCTGGGGTGGGGAGATGAGACACCAAGTGTGGGGATGGCTAGCCCCTTAGAGGCCTGTCATCTGCAGCTCTGGTAACCATCAGCCTCTTGGACTTTTTCTTTTTGGTAATGTTTTGTATAGTTTTTATGTTTTATATATTTATTGTTTTAATGGATCTTGTGAGCTGCCCAGAATCCCCCATTAGGGGGAGATGGGCAGAGATAAATAAATAAATAAAATAAATAAATAAATAAATAAATAAATAAATAAATTTTCATCCTCAAATGACTAGGAAGTGTTTTCTTACTGAACAATTTATTCATGATATGAGTTAATTTGCTGTGGTAGATGTCTGAAAATGAATTAAGTATATAAATATTATTTTTTTATATTTTTACAGAGCTTTTGCCAAGATGGCTTCAGGTCCAGCTATGTATGGAAACAGTGCAGCAAAGTCATTGGGGTGAGTTCCAAATATATTTCGTTGCTATTGGCATCCTATGCTGTGGTTTCAATCCAAAAAGTTCCACACACAGGTGAAATAAGAAAAAAATGCAATAAAACAATGAAAAGAAGCTGACTAATATTCTGATTATGTAATACTTGGTTAATAGAACGTTATAATTTGTTATAAACTATAAACAACTGGACTACTGCAACACATTCTACATGTGGCTGCCTTTGAAGACAACTTGGGTGCTGCAAATGGTCTAGGGTTAAGGTTAGGGTTAGGCTCCCGGCGGGACAGTCCCTCCACTGCAGAATAAAACCTGGAGTCACTGCACTGGCTACCATTAGGCTTCCAGGTCCAATTCGAAGAGCTGGTTGCCACCTATAAAATCCTACATGGTATAGCACTGGGATATATTAGATACCACCTTGCCAGCATTAAGTTAGTCTAACCAGTCTAAACATCTTGAGAGGGCCTGCTGAGAATCCCCTGTGGTAGGCCCTTGGGAGTGAGCTCTGCAACAGGGCTTCTCTGTAGCAGCCCTTCATTTTGAAACACTCTTCCCTCTGAGGTGTGGTTGGCCGCTTCCCTGTTAGAATTTTATAACTTAGTGAAAACAGGGCTGTCTCACTGTGCCTTTGGGTCAAATTGATGGTGCATGTTCATCTTGGGTATGCATTGATGATACTGTTTTTCACTATTTTGTTACTAACCTATCGTTTTATTCTTACCTGTTAACTGCCCAGAGTCTTAGCTGATTGGGGTAGTTTACAAATATTGTCAAATCAATCAAAAATAAATAACACATTGAAAGCAATGTATAGATACAGTCAAGTCCAGAAATATTGGGACATCGACACAATTCTAACATCTTT